TTAATACAACCTCTTGCATCACAGGATTGGACCTTTGTGATCCATGGAGTTTCAATGGACTGGTTTTTGAAAGTAGATCACCAGACCTTTCTTCCTACTGTGTGGTCTAACATGTGCAGGTTGGGGAATCAGATACAGAACTTTAAGCAAGTGAGCTCCCTTTGCTGAGCCTCAGTTTCCTCACTGGGGAAAACCAGTTGGGGTTGACATGACCACCTCATGTGCTGAAGCAGAGCTGTGCTGCTTATGACTGAATTTTTTTCTCATGTAGGTTGCCAAAAATTTCTTCTAATGCACCGCTTGGTGGATCGTACCACTGGGTAGATCAAACAGCTGACCTTTCAGATGGCAGGTGAGCATGTTCATCCTTTGCACCGACCCGGGGCTTCTGTGTTGTTGGTAGGAGGCAGTGACAAAGAAAGACTTCAGAGGACTGAGTGGGCATTCAGTGAGAGAAGGGGGTGGACTGCCCCACACAAAGTTGATGCCCGATAGATGACAATAGCCTTAAGTTGAACGGGTATGCAAAACTGACATCAGTCATGGTCTTTTTAAATCATCCAGTGGCCAGCAGGAGATTGGTTAGACCAGGAGGCTGAGCATGCTCAAGCTGTTCCCTCTGTAAGCAGAGGAGCCGGGCAGAAACAAGGGGTTAGTGCTAATGAAGTCCATGACTCTTCCTGAGGGAGGGGGTGGGATCGGGGTTCATTACTGGCCTGTGCTGCAGGGGGCCCACAGACGGGGCTACCTGTGGCCTCCTGCCATGCCAGAGCTAGAAACCTTAGCCAGGGAGCTAGGCGACCCAGGATCCAGGCTATGGGGTGGGGGGGTGGGGGGGAGTCCTGCCACCATCTGGTCCTAAGCTCCCTGCCTAATGTTTGTAACAGACCCACGACTTAATTGCATGCTTAGGGGGCAGCGTTCACATCTTTAACACCTAATTCACTCTTATTTTTTTGGAAGCCCAATCTTGAGGCTGGGGAGAGAAGGCTGTCATGTGTATGGCGCTCTCAAGCCTGAGCATCCCAGCCTTATTCGACTCTAGCTGGGCAGGAGGCCAGGAGGGCATCTCTCCCAGTTTCTTGACCACCACCTAGGGCTATATCACCCCTGACCTGGCTAGCAGGAACACCCCAAAACAGGCCCTTTGATCGTCCAGTGGGATGTCTGCCCCATCCCCTTCAGTGGGCATGTTGCTTCTCTTCCTCTGGGCTTTGGGGCTTTGTTCTCTCCAGCCCCTACAAAGGCAGGGAAGGGGAGGAACAGTGGAGAAGTGGAGAATGAACACAGCAAAGCCTGGGTTCAAGTCTCAATTCTGCCACTTTCTACTTTGGGACTTAGCGCTATTCTCATTCTTCCACGGGCTTCCGTTTCCCTAAGCATGCACAAAATGTGTGTCCTAACACCCATTTTGGAGCCCTGGGTGCATAGTGGATTATACATTCGGGCTTTTAACTGCAAGGTCAGCAGTTCAAACCCACCAGCTGCGATAAGAAAGATGAGGTTTTCTCCACCCAAAGAGAGTCACAGTCTCAGAAACCCACAGGATCAGTTCTACCCTGTCCTACAGCGTCTTAATGAGTCAAAATTGGCTCAATGACAGTGAGCGAGCATCTAAATTGGCAGGTTGTTTATTGAGAGAATCGTGGTGGGTAGGCTACCAAGCTGATGTCCGTTTGTCAGATTGTCCTATCGTGGTGGCTTATGCATTTCTGTGATGCTGGCTGCGATACCACCAGTATTTCAAAAACCAGCAGGGTCACCCTTGGTGGGCAGGTTTCAGTGGCACCGCTGGATAGTCAGAGATAGCAACAGGAGACCCTGAAGGGGAGCTGGGCTTGCGGGTTTAGGCGGCTTCGCCCAGGAATCGGAGGGTTTCTGTCCACCCCGCAGCCAAAGGGACCCCTTTCAAGTGGAGGGAACATCCTGTGTGATTTCCCCTCTCACTCCGAGGAAAATCTCACTCCAGTCCCTGGAATATCATCTGGTACCGGGTAGATTTCATACCAATGGATCGAAATGAATGAAGTGTGGCTCCACTCTTTTTTCAGCTTGTATTGGTTTGGGTAGGTCATTTCACGTCTCTGCACTGTCCAGTGCAAATGACATGGGACTATTGTTCCCGTCCAAGCCTGGTGAAAGAAGTCGACACCTGATGGGCGCTCACCCAAGGACCCCCATTATCACCATTATGAAGTTCAAGACTATCGGGCTCTTGAACAGTATGCTCTTTCAAGAATGGTCCACAGGGACTCAAAGGGACACCACGGGCTCAAAAGACTAGACGAGACACGTAAGAGGCAGGGAGTTTGTGTCCATTAGGGGAAGAGCCATCCAGGAAAGGAAAGTAAGGGTGCCATCCCGTCTCTGAACGGTGCCCAGGCAAAGTGCCGAACTGGCTGGGGTCCTGCCTGCCATGTGTCTTCTCCACCAAAGCAAAGGAGAAAGAGACCGAGAGTGAAAACTGCGCCTTGGGCTCAGTCCCGACGCACAGCGAGGCCCGGGGGAGCCGATGGTCTCTCTGGAGCGATCTGCTTGACTATCTGTGTGGATGTCGGGAATACCCACCTCCCACCCAGGGGTGTGTGTGTGTGTGTGTGTGTGTGCGCGCGCACACGTGCTCAGGCAATGTATGTAAATCACCCAGCAAGGGAGCCTAACACACGGTGGGCGCTTGCCTGCAGAGTGGCAGATTTGAGTGCCGGCCCTGCCACTTTCTTACTCTGAGATTTTAGGGAAGCGGTTTCCATCCCAAGCCTCGGTGCCCTCATCTACAAAATGGGGCCGTAATCGTGTCTTTCTCCCAGGCAGTCGTGGGGACCCAATATGACTAGCAACTGAAGAAGGAGGTTTCCTAAAGGTGCTGTGGCAGGCAGGTAAGTCAGCTATAGGACAGGTGGACAGGGCGCAGGAGCGGGAGGGGGGTGGGCGGGGCGGGCAGGGAAACCTTCATCAGAGGTAGAAACAAGGCCCTTGGCCCTCTGCTCTGAAATGGGTCACATAGGGGGTGCACAGCTCAGATGCAGTCGAGGCCCTCCCCAGCCAGAAGTCCCCTGCCATGGCCCATGACCCACCCACGGCCCACCCTCTCC